CAATCCCAGCAGCGAAACAAGAAGTTCCAACGACCGCGCGGGTCGTTCTTCTCTAATCCTTTTCCTTAACAAGTTCTGCGACCTTCCTCGCTCTCTCGAGGATCAGCGAGTGGTTTTCTCTCGGAAAGACCGAGCCCTCATGTAGGACCTTAAGCCTGCAGCGCCAGGCCTCGCCGTGTAATTGAAACCGGCATGGCCCCGTCGGCATGGCATACCGTGCTACAGGGACTGTGTATGCCGACCAACAACCCATGAGGGGGGAAAAGGGTGGAGTAGAGACAGAGGAATGGTGAAACACACGCCGAAGTGCGTGCCTTCTAGCTGCCCGGCACTAAGCGCAGGGGTTAGGCCAAACAAGCGGAGATCAATTAGGCGCAGAGGAAAATGCAGGGATATACGGCTCCAACGTACACGCGTAGGGAAAAACGAAGAGAAAGGAACGCGATAGCTGTTAAAGCTTGCGGATTGTTTACTGGCTGGGACATATCGTGTCCGTTCATTTGTTTGTTTTTCTTCGTTCCGTGGCATCCGAGCTAACTAGGAGGGCGTGATTGCGGCGCACAAAAGTACCGAGTGCTTTCGTGTGTGTGACGCCGACGTATGAGGATAACTGGGCGCATTAAGCTCACCCGTGCAAAGGAGACGTGCCGAGCAATGACGCGCAAAGAGTGGGAAAGTCTGATTCGTAGGAATTGATGCTTCACCGATTTTTTTTTTTTTCGAGTGGCTGGCTGGTTTACGGATTGTCTGCTCATCTCATTTCTCTTTCTTTCTTTCTTTCTTTCTTTCTTTCTTTCTTTCTTTCTTTCTTTCTTTCTTTCTTTCCTGTTTTTCCTGCTGTCCTTCTTTCTTTCTTTCTTTCTTTCCTGTTTTTCCTGCTGTCCTTTTTCCTTTCTTTCTTTCTTTCTTTCTTTCTTTCTTTCTGTTTTGCTCCATTTCTTCTAATTCAGTCATTCTAGAGGACAGAACATATATCTTGCGATCTTATTCAGGCTATCAACCCCACCCTTCAGCCATCCTTTTCACCGCATACAGTCAAACGGGACACGACAACTTGAAATTACAATGATCCATAATTAACGCTACAATTTAAAAACAATCATCACAAAATTGTTTCAGCTCTTGATAAATATGAATCATAAATTCAATATGCATGATCCACCCGACTCATGGCCTATCCCCCAGAGTGGGTAGGTGCCAATATCATCATCATCATCATCATCATCATCATCATCATCATAATCATCATCACCATCAAAAGAACACAGGGTTCTCGCACACACGCACACCCACACAAAGAAATAAAAAAAAACACCAATGTCATTTGTTTGCAGCACGCAGGACTATCAGGCTCGTTTACGTATGAGTCAACCTCAAAACGTACTACGTCACAAAATTCGCATGAAGGACCCCACCAGCGACATGCACTTCCCGAAACCTCCTCACCACATAGAGGCCTGTATAGCGGTTTTTTCAAACGATCTCTTTTCAGCCTTTACGTAGTTTCCGTGGCTAACAAGTGCCGGCTGCAACCTTTTATCTCCCCCTAGTGAGCGCAGTCTGTAACGTCGCGATGCGTCACTGACATGCCTGTAGGCAGTAACCCTAGACAGGCAGTGTTTTGTTCTGTGAAAAAAGGTAAGCTGAGGAATTTGAAATGAATTGAAATCGGGCTAACGTAAACGCATGCGTAGGCTGCGCTCGTCAATCGTGCTTGCAATGTTTCAGAAGTAAACTAAAGAAAAAAATAACGTATGATGAGCGCTCACCAAGACTGATACCTAATAACAGAACAAGTCACCCAGAAAAAAAAATTACGGCATATTCACGGGGTGAATGATGATGAATGGGCGAAGCTCCGGAGGGACTCATCGGTAAACTGTGAATCTTCCGTGTAGTTCGCCCAGTCGATCATCATGTAAAGACGTGAGAAACGCTGTGTGTGTATATACACAAATCAACTTTTATTTGTTCTTAGACGATGGATGGCTTGCGATGTCCCTTGATTATGACGGCTTTATGGTCTGTGAAATGAAGGGAGAGCGGTTCCTGTATAAGATCTCGCGTCTTTCATCAACTACAAGTACCGCTTTCTAGTTTATAACATCTTGCATCTTTTCATCATCAGCTACAAGTACCACCATCTAGTAAACACTAGAAGAACTAAACGAGAGGTGGCTACATACAGGGGACGGTACCGCCATCTAGTGAACACTGCAAGAACTAAACTAGAGGTGGCTACATACAGGGGACGATACCGCCATCTAGGGAACACTGCAAGAACTAAACTAGAGGTGGCTACATACAGGGGACGGTACCGCCATCTAGTGAACACTGCAAGAACTAAACTAGAGGTGGCTACATACAGGCTACAGGGGACGCACAGCCCACGCCCTAAGAGCTTCGCCCCTGAAAAAAGGGATTGGACGGGCTTTCCCGAAGACGCCATTGTTACATCGTGAGTGGGCGCGTCTGAGCTCAAAAGCATCCGTGAGTAGCACTTGACTGAAGAGGTGTGCGCAGCGCAGTACTATTTTTCTGTCCAACGTATTCGAGTGCAAGCAAAATATAGCCTGCCAAACGCGTGTTTCGTAACGTGAGCGTTGGCTCAGTGGGTTCGTTACCCGTTAAGTCGAGCTTTTAGTCTCATGAAGCTGCCCTTCGCTCTGAAGGCCTTCCTTTAACAAATGTTACATAACTGACTTCTCCGAAACTGGCTTTGACTTCCAAAGCAAGCTTCAAGTATAGCTCTAGACTTTGGTGCTCGCTGTCGATTTTTTGTTCACTTTGATTGACGGTATACTAGGCATTCTTCAGTGCAATAAAACTGCGGTACGTGTCATCCGAAAACAAATATCTTGAACCTGCGCGCGAAATACTGCTCAGCGCAAATTGTCCAGGAAAATTCAACAAAAAAATAAGCTATGCAATATCCAGATAACACGATTTGGACTTGCGTATGGCGCACGACAGTAGAAGAGCTTTCCATTTTCTTTTTGAAACGCAGCTTACGTTGATGTGGCGTTTATGACAGGAAAGAATGCTTTTAAGATTATCAAAATCCCAAGGTTCATAGGCGAAAAAATTTATGATATGAAGCGCTAAAATGCCATGTTCTGATAATTCAACTGAATTGCTCAACTTTTTTTTCTTTTCATGCAAAAAATATGATGGAAGTGAGCTGGGTTCTCTGAACCCTCTTTTAAATCGGCACGAAGAAAATTGTTTTTGGAGCTACATTTTGGGAAAAGTGTGATTACAATTCATAATGAAAAAATTGGAAGCGCAAACCAACGGGACACAAGAGAAGGGACAAACAAGCGCAAGAAAAGTGACAAACAAGAGAAGAGACAAACAAGCGTGTTTTTCATTATGAATTTGTACCAACTAGCGCGCGTGTCGACCCTTCTGTGATTACAATCGACTGAAGGGGAAAATATGGAAGTCTCGCACTAATGGTGTCAAGGGCGACAGAACTGCGGAGATGGCTTGCTTTCCTCATTTCTGTTTTTTTAATTACTTTCTTTTCTTTCTTTGTGCTTCATGAGACTATCTTCATACCTGTTGCTTTCTATTTCTATTTCTTTCTTTTTATTGGTCTTTTTTCTCTTTCGGACTCTTTTTTTAGGTTAGTTCTTCCATTTTTCTATTTATCACTCTCCTTTTTTCTCGTTCTTTGTTTCTCTTTATTTCTCTTCGTCTTGCTAGCCCCGTCGTGGTGGTCTAGTGGCTAAGGCACTCGGCTGCTGACCCGCTGGTAGCGGGATGGAATCGCAGCGGCGACGGTTGCATTTTCGATGGAGGCGAAAATGCTGTAGGCCCGTGCGATTTGAGTGCACGTTAAGGAACCGGCGGTGGTCGAAATTTTGCGGAGCCTTCTACTACGGCGTCCCTCATAATCATATGGTAGTTTTGAAACGTTAAATCCCACGTATAAATCACAATCAATCTCTTTGTCGTGCTATGTTTTTCTAGCTATTTCAGGGCCTGTTCTTTTTTTCTTTGTAAGTTTGTGTATCCTATCTTTTTATCTTTATTTGTTTTTCCTCATTTCTCTTTCTTCCTCTTTCAATCTTGCTCTCTTGATTTTTTTTCGAATCTCATTCCAGTTGTGTTTCTCTCTCTCTCTCTCTCTCAACGTATTCATCTGTCTTTCTATCTTTTTGACTTTACTCCATTCATCTTTCTCTATATGGAAGGAAGGAAGGAAAAGCCCAATACCTGTGGCACACACCTACGCTGGGAAATTCGCCAAGAACCGGGTAGTGTGACAAAGCACTGTTGATTTAATAGCTCACGTATTTTAAACTAATGAGAGGGATCAAGGGAAAAAATTAAATATGAGTCTTGACAATTAGGTATACGGGATATAGAAAATGAAGCAGATAACTTCAGGAACGACAATAAAAATGTACAATTCATTCTATCACTTTCTTTTTCTTTCTTTCTTTCTTTTTCTTAAAAGGTTTTCTCTACCTTACCTGTATCTTTGTCTTGTTCCCTCTCTTTTTTTACCGTATATCACATGTTCCACTACACCGAGCAGAGTTTTCGTTTAACATTCGCACCCGAAGTGTTCGGAAGTGCATAACAACGTAAAGGTAGCGCAAAAAAAAAACTCGGACAAGAAAGGGTACACCGCAAGCGCTTACTCACATTTTTTTCGCCCTACATTTACGTTGTTAAGGATTAGTACCAACTCGCTCGCCTCTTCGTTCTACTCGGAAGTTGGTTTTACCCAACTCCCGTGGCGCACACTCACCTGCAGTTTTTTTTTTGCGGAGGCCAAACTTTTCCCAGCTGGCTTATACACTGCGAAAAAAAATACAAGATGGTTTCCGTTTTCGAGCCGTTTTAAAAGCACATACATAAGCAACGAAGAGACTATTTCTTTATCTGCAATGTAGCTCAAGTTAAGACATCTGTAAATTTGCGAAAGACGGCACGTTTTTTTTTTTTTTGCGCATTAGCGTGCTTAAACTTTTTTTTTCTCTTTTCAGATTCACGCGCTGGAAGATGACCTTGGTCAAGGCGGCACTCCGGAGAGCCGACTGACCGGCCGCTCTGGAAACATAGTCGCCTGCGGAGTCATTGGGGTCACACATCCGAAGGACCAATAAGGCCGAGAGCCGCGCAGGGCTTAGTTGAAGATAACAGCTGTGAGCGGCTCTGCTTTCGTTCTTTTTCCACAGCCGACGGTCGAGCAATTTAATCAAGCTTGAGTCGCTGCAACGGAGCTCCGTGTGCTCCCTTTGAGCTACAAGTCAACTGTAATTCAATATACAACGAGTAAATATTTATACGTTATGTAAATAAAATATTTCCTATTTTCTTTTCGGTGACTTATACGTCTTTTTTAAGCTCGTAGTAAACACATAACGTGGCCCAAAGACCTACGAGTTTGGCACCTAGTGGGATGATCAAACAAATCCGATTCGTGTATCTTTGAACAGCTGCGCCTCGTAATGGCATGAAGAGATAAATAGAACAGTACCGTGAGCCATTTTTATAGAGTAATATTGGTGACACGCTGGAAGCTCCAGGATGTGGCATCACCGGCTGTCCGTAGCACTGTGCATCCGGGTCTCCGCGTGAATTACTTCTGGCGTTTGGGAAGTTTGACGACTGCCAGAGTGACAAGATCAAGCGTTGTAATGACTCCTTAAAGGAGTTGTTATCGAGAAAATGGCATCAATGAGTGGTGATGACGAATAAACGTACGCTTTCAAACGGGGGTATCGGGGCAAGCCTCAGTTCTACCTATACGTAGGTTTCCTCATCCCTGGAACTCCCCAGTCATCGCTGCCTCCTTGGCCAAGCTCGTAGATGAGCTTAGCCACGTTTCGTTGAGGTCATCGCCTCCTTCGCGGCCCAGCAGATTTTCGTTTAGTGTGCCGAAATGCCCTAACCACTTCAGAATCGGTTGCGCCGACGTGTTCGACACGGCGCACTTCTAGTAGTGGCATCCGCACAGCGCTATATATAATCGATGCATCAGTATTTAGTGGGTGTATTGCTTTGTACTGCCATCTTTGTTGAGATTAGGGCGAGGTACATCTTGCGTTTCACCCTTTGACGAAGAATTGCTCCAAAGGTCCGAAACACAGTTCTTGCCCCTAGAGACGCCGGGCAAGCATTTAGATCAAGCCTGCCGTGGAGACATGGCATGGCTTGATCGCGGGCCGTGGTGGATCCCGTTTCTTTCACCTTTATTGTTTCATGTCCAGGAAACTGTGCCACGCAAGTGTACGCGATAGTAGTGCTCAGGCGCTTCGCTATACGAACAGCGTGAGCAGACAAGTGACATTTTTTTACATATTTCTCATGGCTCCTTGGAGTCGAAAAAAAACGACTAAAAGCTGCGTACAAGCACGCAGCTTTTTCTGGGGTCTCGACATGTCACCGATGGTCTGTGGCAGACGCTACCTCTATACCTCTGGGAATCCATGACACTTAGGGTACCTACTTTTCCTCGCGGATATTTCGCTGCGTCGGCGTTCACGTATCTGACGTGTGGATTATTGTCAAATCTGCACCGTAGCATATTCACTGAGGCTTTCTTTCCTAGTGGTAAATGCCTGGCGCCGCGGTATTCATGCTTTGCACGCTGATTCCAGCATGTGTGGGGGATCCTATCCTTTTGGTGGTAATTTCACCGCAGCTCAGGCGTTGGAGCACTGATATTGCGGGGCGGGCGTGAGCTTCGGTGCTAATTGATAATTCAAAAGAATTGGCTAATACTCGATCCTTATTAGACCACAAGGGACAACTCTGAACCCAACACTATAGGTTTAATACACAACAGGGCATTTTCCCAGCGAAGCTGCTTAAGCTGGACCTTGCGACGGTATGCTATACAGCGTTCGCAAAAGCTCAGTAGGTATGCACTTCATGTGCCAAGCAACTCGCAGTCGAGCATAGCCATGCATCACATAGCAAAGCAAGAAGGTGGGAAGGGAGGGTGAGGGTGAAGCAAAAGAGGGAGAGGGCATTTCATGACTTAGCCTTGTATAGAATAGTCATGTAAGCGGACAGTAATTGAGAGGTGACGGTGAGGAGGAGGTGAAAGGGTAAGCCATGGCCATCAGTAACCCTGGAAACCGTGACCATTAGTAGCCATGGGTAAACGTGACCATGAAGAGGGTAAGCATAACCATGTCGCAATATAGCAAAGCAAGGGGTGGGAAAGAGAAGCGACGATGGGGAGTGATGTTGGGGTTAGGATATAGAAATTGAGGAGATATAAAGCAGATTGATATAATGATAAAAATGTAAACAATTAAAATAGATGTTGAAGAAGGATGAACGTAATCTGCGTTCACCCGATAGTTGTCCTTCCTAGCCAGCTCCACACTTCACTTGGATTTTGGAGTTGTGGAACTTACTTGATAGTTTTATACAATTTTTATTATTAAAATGATGTGATCGTACGGTACGTGTTGCCTTCGAACAGCAATTCTACAATAAAACGAATTTAATTTGCGGCGGCTAAACTTTCATTGGTGTGAGTAATGAACGAAAACGCTTTGGCTTTTTAATTATCTTGAAGTCAGTTGCTTATGCAGATAAAAATAATGGAACGTAACTTTAAATATTATTCATCGAATTTTAATGGAGATGCTCCACCCGGGTGTGCCAGAAACGAGTTACACGTGTCGCAGCGCAGTCTCTGAACGCGCTGTCAACACTGCTACGCATGCGATAGTATTTGTTGTCCTCTTTCATTATGTTTACTTTTTGTAACATTTACCTCCGATTACTCCCTCCCCAGTGTAGGGTAGTTAATCGGGTGCAACTCGGTTCACCTTGCTGCTTTTCCTGTGCCTTTTTCTTTCACTCTCTCCTAAATACAATTTTTATCTTTTCTTGTCGCAGACAATGAGACTTAATACGTACGTGTAGTAACGCACTGTAGTCAGCATCTCGTCTCTTCCGGAATAAATAGCGCCTGTTTACGGCTTCTGTGGTTGTTTCGTCTCCTTTTAGAATCGTACTACTCATCTCTAACGCTACGATTATAACTAGATAAACACCACTGCTAGACCTGTCATTTTAGTTGGTAGGATTACTGGGCGAAATCAGCGCCACTCTCATTCACAACCACACTTGCTGTTAGTTGCCAGCTAGCGGTTCGGCTAGTAACGAGGTCTAGATGACTGTGCTCCAACAAGTTCCGGGGACTTGTTTGGGTATATATGTCGGGCCAACGGGACAATGAACGCCCTATGTACATTTGGACGTACGAACTTAAAAACACGCAGCCACCGATCCAATCCGCGCAGCCGTAATGAAGACAAATTTATTCGGGAACTAGACCCCAAAATTGAGCACCATGCTATCCGATGCTATAATTACCGCGAAGCGTCTGGCTCGTACGAACGTAGGACCATTGATGACTAAGAATGTGCTACAAAGAAATAAATGAAATAAGTGGTAAACCGAGAGGGTGTGTAACGACACGATCCGTATATCCCGTCGAGGAAAAGAAAAGAAAAAGCAAGAGAGGATCTGGCATGGTCTGTCAAAATAAAATCGAACCCCATCTCCATTACGAGTGAAAACGTGGGACTGCTGATGTGGAATGATAGCCGTACGCTCGGTCAATCCCGCTAACGATGCGAGCCTATGGGTACGCCCTTCGGAGCCGCCATGTTTGAAATGCAAAGTGAGCGGATCTTACTTTGAATCCCCTCTACGAAGAAAAAAATTAAAATAAAATTCGGGTGAATTTTATCAGTTCCTCCATCGAATCGAATCGAATTGGATACACCAAGCACGATGTGGAAGACGTGATGTCGTTCGAACGTTCTTTTCCCCATATGTTTGTTCGTTATGATTTCGTGTTCTAACCACAGATATCTGATTATTCTTTCTTTCTTTCTTTCTTTCTTTCTTTCTTTCTTTCTTTCCTTCTTTCTTTCTTTCTTTCTTTCTTTCTTTCTTTCTTTCTTTCTTTCTCTTTTTCTTTCTTTCTTTCTTTCTTTCTCTTTTTTTCTTTCTCTGTGAAGTTGTGTGTGTGTGTGTGTGTAGGCTATTTCCTCTTTCTCTCTTGCCTCATTATTAAACGAATATTAGCGCGATGAAAACAGGGACGGAAAGGAACAGACAAACTGCAGCGCTGACTCATAACTAAAGTTTATTCCTCAAAGAAGCGGAATATATGACATGTGAAAAAAGCAAAGCAAAGACAAGAAAAAAAAACCATCGCGGAAGGTCAAACTGACAAGAATCCATAAATCGCTATGTGGCTAATCAAACGTGCAAGCTATCTGTGAGATGTGAAACTTCTGCACCTGATAGTGTTATGGAAGGCTGGATGACGCAATTATCACCTTCCAGTGACACATAAAACTCAACTCGTGTCAGCGCTACTGCTCCGGTAAGCGCTGCGTCGCATATAAAATGGCTCCTCGGCACTGGACGGGCGAAATTAAAAACTCGCGTGCCATGCTCGCGAACACGAGCGAAAACAAAGCCCTCCGAATTTCCGTTCGAATGTTTATCTCTCGATCTGTCGACTTTTTTCCCTTCACAAAGGAAATGTGCATGCGACTGATAAACGAATAGCGATTTAGAGTTTGGTCACTTTCAGCTTGCGCGATGTGTTTTTTTTTTGGTTTTTGCTTTGCTTTTTTCAGATGTCATATATTCCGCTTCTTTTAGGAATAAACTTTGTGAGTCTGCGCTGTAGGTTGTCTTTTCTTTCCCGTCCCTGTTTTCGTCGCGCTAATATTTGTTTATATAGTAAGGCAAAAGGTAGAGAGGAGGTAGCCTACACACATACACAACTTCACAGAGAAGAGCAGCAGTGTTGTGCGGTATACGGCATATATGAGTAGACTAATGTCACCAGTGCAAGTATATATTGCTTAGAAGTTTTCAATGCCTCCGTGAAAACATACACGCAACAAACTAAAACAGTACGGGTATGCAATAGTGTATGACTGAAGCAGGGTGCTTAAACAGCAGGACCCAACTGAATTGGTTACCCGCTACTAAGAAAGAGGAAAGTAGGGAAAATGTTAATGGGAAAATGGGCCACGGGCGGCGCCGCTTACGTGGTAACAGTTACACGCGCGATGTCTCAGAAGGTCAGTCAGTAGCGGGCGAAAATAAGTACAATACACGGCGAACGGAGGTCTCCGTAGATTGCTTTAAATTATAATATCACGCGGTTGCGACGTCGACGAAGGCAGTGACGGCTGGTTCCAAATGACATTTTGTATTTGGTAAAACTTGTAAATGGGAACTCTAAACTAGAACAAGTAATACCCGCTGTACACTGTTATTGAAAAACAGAGCATCGACCGTTGATAAATTTATCATCGCTGGAAC